TTGAGGAAGCCCGTAGAGAAAGTGGAGAAAAGTATAATCTATGGGAATCTATAAGACCAAAAGGATATTATTGAGCATGCCACCGATAGAAACCTGAAGACCTGAAGGAGACGGTTTACTGACTTGATATAGCCAGCTTCTACAAAATTAATCTTAAACCCATTCGAGGCCCAGGCAACATAAGCAAAAAAAGGTATCGAAATTGTTACACATTATTGGCGTCATACCATACCTACAAGTGACTTTGTTAGAAGTGTCTTAAAAGAAAAGTAGCGTAGAAGAAGAAAAAACCAAAAGAAAGCCACCAGTCAAAGAGAAATCTCAAGCCAAAACTTAGCTTAATGGACCCATAAATTTGCCTGCACATGAGCGAGTAATCAATAGATAATCGATATCACGGAGGAGAATCTTCAGGGCTCCTCAAAATGAGAATGAGAACCTACTGCCTAGATTAAAATAGTATGCTGCTCCTGCAACTCCAACTGCGGCAACCATCGTAATGGCGTACCTCGAGATTGGTGGCCATCTCTGATTAATTTTTCGTGCCTTAACATAAAGTTGTCAGAGATCTGCTATTATGAGCATCCCTTCAAGACGAAAAATGAGACTGCAAAAGCAAGGAACGAAACTTACTCGTGCTCTATACAACCGAGTAAACTCTGTCTTCAGGGCAAGAGGTGGCATAAGGGAAGCGAGATATAAGGAATCCGAAAGGATTGCATCCAAGTGAAGTTCGTTTGGCATATTCATAAGAAGTTGGTGAATAATAGGCATTTCTCTGAAATCAAAATAATCAAGTACTATCAGGAAATAAAAAAAAAACACATGTTCAGTCTGAACCACATATTGTTTATAGCAGATGCTGCCCTGGCAGGAACTAGCCCACAGCTCCAAAAGAAACATGGTTATGAGAGGAAAAAAAAGAAAATTGTAACTGTGGTTCCTATTCGTATCTAGACTATCTTTATTACTATATTTTGAAGATTATAGAAATTATTGTTATAACTCTTCGCCCGCATTTTCCAGAAGTGCGCTACTTCAGAGCAGGCAATGCTCTTTCAGAATTGGGCATCCTTCCAGTCAGAATATTGCACCGATGAAAAGTTAACGATTCTTAGTATTTCGGTAACTCCGATTTCTTTTGATTTCTAAACACCCTAATTACAGTTCCACATCGCCGATATGCAATGATAAACCCTATATTGATAGGTATTTGGGAACAACTAACCGTTGAGATGTTAATATAGCTGATTTTCTTTTCAAAACTATGGCAGCGCTCACGTATATTGAAGTCAGTGGAGGTGAGGCAAGGAATACATCGAAAAATCGTACAATCTAAACATTCACCATTCAAATTTGAAATAGTCAACTGCCACGACAAAACAAAAAAGGGTAGATACTGCTGGAATCTAAAATCCTCTACATGACGAAAGAGCTCATCAGTCTCTTGATTTGAACTCATATCAGACTGTCGATTGGAACTTGTGAAACTATTACTACCAAACTTTACGAAAATCCTGAGGAACGCCAAAGTCACGATCAAAGAAACAATGGCTACCATAAATCTGAGGTTCAATGACTGGTATACCTGCTGATAATGATTAAGTGAGTGACTGAACCATGTGAGCGGCCAGCTCAGAGCGAACATAGTACCCAAGTGGACTTCACGTAATACCCGTTCTAGCTGTGGATCTGCTCTAGACAATATGACATATCTGAAAACAAAAGATTGATCTGAAGATACATCATGCTCAAGTTGAGTTAACATAGTATTCTGGCTGCTTAACCATTAATCTGTAAACAAAGAAGGGAATAAAGATAAACAATGTTCTTTCAAAACAAGTTCTAATATTTTCTTTAACGACATCAGTATATGAACAGAAAGAACCGAACTAGTGATGAGTGAGTATCAACGCCAATCTAGAGAGTTTGGAAAACTCACAAAAGTTCTAACTCCTTCAATACGCTTTTATCTAGGCTTTTCAGCAAATAACTTCGGAACGGTCCGTGATTAGCAAGGTTCCTGCAAACCTCGTAGGCGACCTCCTTCCCACAAACCAAGATCACTGTTAAGCATACGTCGTGGAAGCCTTTAAAGTAAAAATTACATTTTAGGCATGCAAAAGAATTGATTATAAAGCAATTACCCTGGTAATATCGAAATCGTGGATTCGTACGCAGAACTCGAATAATCAAAGGGGTAAGCTGATCTTGAAGAGTTGTTCTTGTTTCATCAGTTATATTTGGGGGAAACCTCGCTAATGTTCTGTGAACATCAAGTGCAACCTAAATGTTGACACATTAGACGAGTTGTCGTCATGGGCAAATAATGTTCAAGGACATACTTGATTCCATTCTGGATGAGACTTCAATTCATCTTCATCGTCACTTTCATGCTAAAATCAAAACATCAAAATAGCAGCGATGTAAAGGGAAAGATTTCAAGATATTGAGTGGAACGCTGGATAACTTACAGTAGTGTCCTGAGGGGACGATGACCTGATTGAATTGGTATCAGAAACAGAAGATACCGAGTCATAATCGATTTCTTCGTCTTCATCAGATTTTACAAGTCGTCGGGCTAGCACTGGCCATATTTTGGCCCGGTATTCGTCAATTACAAGCCCTCCATTCGATCGTGCAAAACATCTAAGTTCGCCTACAAATAAGAAAATAAGAGTAGAACCAAAAAATCATAGGAAATACTATTTTTTCGGAATATCATTTGAGGAATAAACCAACAGAAACAAGATTTGCAATCGTGAAAGTTCATCTTTGGGCTTCCCGCACAAGGTTTTCAAAAAGCACTGTTTGCCATTTTTTATTTCATTTGAAAAACACGTCGGGACAGTTGGTCATTGACAATATTAAGAAGCTAGGCCAATCGCCGCAGAGTTGAAGGTCAGATTACAAACAATAAAATAATCTTCACATAAATGATTTTTACTGGACGAAATGCGAAGCATGAGAGCATTTAGGGCGTCATTTGTGCTTTAATAATCAATGAAATATCAAAAGTTCAAATAAAGGAGAAATGGGAAAAATTGATTAATATTGACTTACTGATGTAGTTGTCGAGATCCTCATTAGCATGATCCTTTAAAAATCTAGCTATCTCTTCTCGTTTCGTTTTTAAACAATTAAATCGCGCTGATGCAAGAACCCTTGACTGAAATAAACCATTTGAGTATGTAAAACAACAGCTGCAGATTCCATTTAGTTAGATGGTATTGACTAAAAAGCAGGTATTCAAGGACCAACCTTTCCAAGCGGTTTCAAGTTGTTGATGTCGTCACATGAGCTCGTCTCTAATTGTGTACAAAGGTAATCGACTTCATGTATTGGTGTAGGTGGTTCCGAGTATGACGGCATTTACTGTGACCGAAAAGCACAGCGCTACGCGAAGCGTAATAGACTGAAAATACGGTATGCACATATAGTATTCATACTGCTACACCTCTATCCGTTTCATTAATACGAACTATAAATCAAGTTATGGATGCTGGCATTATCAAGGAGAGGCAAAAGCGAAGTAATCAATTGAAAATGGAGGCAGGCAATTGCTGTAAAGTATCCTTCAAAAAACTAGAGTAGTATGGTAGAAATAACCATAGAAGGTAAAGTAAGACGGAAGGACAGAAGGATTCGACGTTTCTGTTGATACGTAAATAGTAAGAAGGGTGGCAAGAGGAAGAGCAGTTCGTTGGGCTATTCATAGGGTGATCAGTTAATATAGAGCGTTCCGGATCTTTCTCAAAACCTGTTCTGCAAATACGTCAGGTGCCAATTTGCTGTGGTAAACAAGA